ACCTTGTTTAAGTTCTTGGGCTCATGACTTCATAACAACCACTAAAGAATTATTGGAGCACCAAGTCCAGAGGGTGAAAAGTTGACACCAATATGTGTACATCCTAGCAGTAACAACAAGTGGCCCTCTCACGTTAGCTGGGGGAATATTCCTTGTTCTGTGAGCTATGGTCAGGTGTCTGTCCTGCCCTGTTCTTGTTCTCTGGATGACCTGATGAGCTGCGTCCTACACCATCCATTCTGTTTCAATTAGGCTTAAGTAGAAGTGAACACATTCTGTCTCTCTGTTGCTCAAAAATCATCTTTAAACACCTGAACTCTATCTGCAGGGTCCTCTATGCCCCTTCACTGTTTTTCTGGGCTGTAGACACTTGAGGCCCTCTTCAGGTCCTTGTCCCCCCTTGTGTTACTGCACTGGCTCACCAAGACCCTGCACACACTACATCACCTGGGTGGGAGTGAACTCCTTTGCTCTCTGGTTGGCTACTGTGCCAAGCCTCTGCAGGGTCTGGGCCGAGCTCTCCTCCATTAAATTAGGCTCCTCCAGTGCCTTCTAAAAATATCCTTCTCCAAAGTGCCAGTGAAAGCTTTGTGCAGCCCAGGGGATGGGATGTGAGAGGCAGTGCAGTGTAGGTGGAGAATGTGCCTTCCAGGCAGAGTGTGCAGAATGCTTCCTGGAAAGCTCTTTGCTGTGCCCGAGCTGCTCTCTCCTGTGCTGGTTCTGTGTCCCAAAGTCCTCTCAGCTGTGGGTCTTGGGTTTTTCACTCCTCTCCTGACTTTTGGTGTCATCATAAAGAAAGCGCCCCTTAGACCTATTTACCCACTGACACTTGTGTGGCTGGCTTCCTATCACGGAGGTTAAAATCAGCACTTTAAAAAGGCAAAGTGGCTATAAAAGGTAGGTAGAGTGCTAGCAATGTGTACAGATCGTTGGTAACAGGGGAGAAGTCCACACAGCAGCAGGAAATACTCAGAAAGGAGGCTCTGGTGATGTTCAGCAGCAGGGCAGGATAGCTTGGTCAGGAGAAGGGCTAGAGCCTGCGCTCACTGGACTCCTGCCTCCCTAGGTCTGAGGCCAGGCTCCCAGCATCCACAGCGCTGTGACATGGGGTCGCCAGAGAGGGGTCCTGGGTTGTGAAGCTGTATGCAGGATCTGGGGCCAGTGGTGGATGACTGTGTGGAGGTGGGTGCTGTCCATTGGGGACACCACTGGAGGGGTGGCGGCAGTTTGTTCTTCAGAACTGACTCCTCACACCTGCGGAGCTGGCTCTCTACTAAGCTGCCAAAGTGGGGAGGCCAGGACCCAGGGGGTCATCTGTGTCTGTCTTTTATGGTCTCCTGGTGTCATTAGTTTTCCCTCATGTTGTCTATGTGGTGGCTCTAGGACGTTGCTATGATTGGCAGGTTGATCGTGTGGTCTCTCTTGGAGAGGGGATGGTGGTGTGTGTGTGTGTGTGTGTGTGTGTGTGTGCGTGCGTGCGTGTGACCTGCATGTCTGAAGTCCCTTGAAGCTGGTAGGTTAATGAGAACACTATTCCCCTGAGGTCCCCCTCCAGCCACCAAAGCCATCTTTATGGCAGGCCCCAGACAGGTTTTACTTTTGTGTTCCATTTACTTGATGAGAGTGCTTTCAAGGACAAACACATGAAATGTTGAAGCAATACACCTGATCCCCTGTTTGCAGTAGGGAAACGCTGAGCACGCAGGCTGAGTCACCAGTTTCGCTGTTACCTGGGGCCCCAGTGGGCAAGGCCTTTGATAGCCACAAACCACCGGACTTTCAGGTCCTCAACTCAGGAACCTGTGTGACCAGGGCGGGAAAGGGGAAGCTTGACATGTTCTGACCATCTGGGTGGGTCAGGCACCTCCAAAAGCACTGTTCATTGTCACAAGACCCCTGAGCCCTGGCCCACGGGGGTCTTGGTGCTCCTGTTTGGAGGGAGAAGCAGCCAGGCGGATGTGGGTCTTGGGGGTCTTGGAGGAAAGATACCCACACACTTGTGTACAGGGATCCACAGTGGCCCAGACCTTCAGAATCCCTCCTGCCCGCTAGTCCTGCTTCAGGGGACTGGAGGGAGAGCTCCTAGCCCTGGGGAGAGAGACCCATCAGCTTGTTCCACAGAAATCACTGAAGAGTTGCTCTGTGGCAGGAATCCCAGCATTTGCTGCCTTCCCCACCCCTAGCTCTCTCAAGACAGTCTCTTCATGCATCAGGTTTTCATCACTGCAACACAGTACCAGAGGCTGCCTAATGTTAGGGAAAAAAGAGAATGATTTATCTTGCAGCTTTGCAGGCTGAAAGTCAAGCAGCTCTGAGTCACCTTGCAGCGAAGACAGCGATTCGGGAGATCACGTACATTCCCAGAAGGGAGGCCAGAGAGCTGGGGGCCAGGCTGGGGCTTCTGTGACAGGGAAGTGTCCCAGGAGAAGTGCTTGGTCCCTGAGGATGTCCCACTAGGCCCCCACCTAGGGTCCCCACTGCCCAATGTCACCACCCTGGGGACCAAACTTCTAATGCATGGGAGCTTGAGGGTCACAATAATGACTGTGTTCAAACCACAGTGGTGACACTGAGTCATGGGTGCCAGATCTTAAGCACGAGTCTCAGCGAAGGCAGTGAGTGACACTTCCAGGGCTGGGGTGACGACACTGTGTGCAGAGAGGTGTGGGTTCCCTTTGTGGTGTGCGGTGGAGTCTCTACTGCTTTCCCCTTCATGTGGTATATTCACGCATAGTACACGTATGTGTGTGTGTGTGTGTGTGTAGAAACCCACGCACACACGTTCATGTGCATACACAGATAAGAATTAAGTAATTCAAGCTTCTCCTCTGTCTTTAGAATTGTTTACTAAAAACTGTAAAACCAAGTTTTGAGACAGGAATATGAGGCTGGGGATGTAATTCAGTGGTAGATGCTTGCATAGCACGTGCAAGGCTAAGTGGAAGGAAGGAAGGAAGGAAAGAAGAGGAAAAGGAAATCCCTGTTTCACAAGTACAATGGTGAATTCCAAAGTTTTTGGGGAGCCAGGACCAGCCATGGCTCTGCTCGTTTCCCTGCCATACCATCCACACAGGTGTCACTGTCTGGCCCCAGGCAGGGGCAGAAGTTGGGAAGACAGATCGTTCAGGATGTTGCATGTTCCACAGAGGGTCAAGGCCAGGGCTGGAGTCATCACCAGCAGCGCCTGTGTGGCACTGGATGCACCACTCACTCTCTGAGCCTCAGTTTCCCCTTTGTAAACTGACTTGCTCCTTGCTGATCCCCTGGCCCTTCCAAGGCTGGTGCTTGCTGAGCCCTGTGGAGGATGAGCTCATTGTCTGATCCATTCTGAGAATGCAGGGAAGAAGAGGCCTGGGATTTGGGGGCCCAAGATTCTGGCTGATGGGTCCTTGTCTACCATTTTCAGACGAGACTCACAGGATGGTGGCAGGGACACCCCTAGGGGCTTCCATCCAGCTCCTCTGTTGAGCAGCATTGTGATCAAGGGCACAGAGCTCTTACGTCACTGGAAGACTGGGGTTGTGTCCCACAGTGTTGAAGAATGAAATTATGGGTGGAGGAGTTCGGGTAAAAGCTATTAAGGCAGGGGAGTAGAGCTCCAGATAGCTGGGAGGGGTCCTGAGCAGGACACTCATGCGGGCACTTTGTCTAGGGGTGTTTAAGGGATAAGGAGGGAGCTCAGGCCACTGTGTAGCAATGTGCTCTCCACCCTATAGGAGTCTTTATACTTCTCAGGGTCCAACCTATGCAGTGTTCACTCAGTGCCCATGAGGGGCCAATGCCCTGTCTGATTGTGCTCTAGGGAGGCTCCAGACAGCTGCAGGACACCTGGGAGATGCTTTTGTAAGGTCCCTGGAGGTCCTGACACAGCAGATTCCATATGGTCCTTTTGCCTAGTGGAATCCTAGCCCCCATCTCCCTAATTCCTATTGTACTTACATTCAGCCACCCAGAATTTCCCTATCAAAACATTTGCTCCACAAGGTCACAGTTAGCTCTGGGCCATGTCCAGCTCCTAGTGCTGTTTAGCACCTGGTGGCCCACTCTCCTGGCTGATGCCACCACGCTGGCCTCCAGCTGCACATGGCTGGGACCTCTGCCCTTAGCACAGCCCAGCAGAGCTCGGAACCACTGGGGACAAGAGGTCTCAGCCAGTGCACAGCACAGTTAGTTTTGCCAGGAGACATTTCATTTCTGCTCTTGGAAGTGTTTTCATAGGGTTTCACTGTCGCATCCATAGGAGCCTTTCTGTTCTGGAATCAAAGGACTGAGTGGGTCCACTGGGCCTTCTGTCCTTTGGGAAGTGCTTCCGTGGGTAGCCCTTACCACGATGGGATGGTAGCCTGCACTCCAGGTCTGGGCTTTTCCGTGAAGGACGGCTTCAGATTTAGATCCAACAAACAGGCAACTTCTGTCATCAACATGTTTGTGAAAGTAGTGCTTCAAAAATTCTAATTCTATTAGGTCACTTTTAGTGGTTTTCTTTTTCTGAATCATGGACAAAAGTACATCAAAGAATAAAAATTTATAATTGTTTTACACATAATCCCACTCCTTACGACTAAATAGTTTCATCATTAAATTTTTTATTTGTAAGTGACAACTTTTCTCAAAGGGGGGACAGAATAAGAAGAAAGAGAAGAGGAGGAGAAAGAGAAAAAGGAGGAGGACAGAGAGAAAATGGAGGAGGAGGAGAAGAAAGAGAAAGAGGAGAAGAAGGAGGAGGAGGGAAGGAGAAGGAAGAGGGGGAAAGCAGAGGAAGAGGAAAAGAGCGGCAGAGAATTATTTATTGACTCATAAAACATCTGTTAACTCATAGAAAGTAAGATCTAGGAAGAGATCAGCCTTCAGGCATGGCCAGATCCAGGCACCGTGAGAGCCTTATCTTAGTGTTTCTTGGGTCAGTTCTCTTCATATGGCAGGTATTTTAGGCACTGGTAGCTCAAGTTGCACCTTATATATTCACAGCAACCCATGTGAGGAAAGAAAATCCTCCCAATACTTGTGGTTGAAAGAGACCGAGAAAGAGTCAGATGCATACCCTGGATGGGTCACCGTGGCTGGGCGGAGGGGACAAGTCCCATTCTACAAGTCAGATAACATGAGCTGCTCTGTCCTGCTAGGCTGTGGGGATGCTGCCTAGTCAGGAAAGCCCCTGGGCATGAAAGGAGTCACAGTCACTTCCCAGGCCTACCCTGTGCTGGTGTTCTTCAGAATTTCCCTTTCCCGTGAGATTTCTTTTTAGGATAACCAAAAATGATCATTAAGCCAAAATGAACAATGTGATACCCTCATCTTAAACTGGTTCCTGTGCTCTTCCCACTTGGAGGGAGATGGCTCCCATTGTGGGGGCCTGGCCCCCTGTGTCCCATGCCAGCTGGGGTCCCGCCAGTGCCTGGCTGCTTCTGGAGTCATCACACTCAGGCTCCTCCACTCCTAGCTTCTGCTGTGGGTTTATTTTTCCATCATCCATGGGCAGCAGGGCCTCCATAACCAACAGCTCACCTCACATCCTAAAGTGTAAACACTCACCTACGAAGCCAGGTGTGGTACACACGCCTCTGATCAGATATTTCAAGTTTATGTTTTGAACACATTTCACCAGCCCTTTGTGGTTCTTCTGGGTACACACAGTGCTGTGTCCTTCTGAACAAATAGCCACTCCTGTATTTCCAAATGCCCTTTGACCTCCTTTCCATGGGCAGTGACCTCTTTTCAAATGCACATGGTCAGCTTTCCTCTCCCAAAGGCCTCTGAAGTCAGCTTCCCAGTGAGCCCAGGCCTTGTGTACGGTGCAGTGGTTCCTGGAAGATTGGTGGAAGCAGCGCTGGACTTTAGCCATGGTCAATGCCCATCTGTACACAGGTAGGCTGAAAACTAGGGTGTAAAAACTCTACCACTTCTGGCCAGAGGTAGCACCCTCTCTTCTTCCTGCCCAGGGACTCCCTGGAATGAGCCCAGGCCATGGTTCAGAGTTCCCAATCTGTGCTGTTTTTGAGAGGAAGCCCAGCATCTTCTTTTTTTGTCCCCTTCTTTCTGGTGGGGCTGCTCCCTTGGCAGGTGAAAGCCACCTGAGTGTCAGGCTGGGGATCCACAGTGTTCCTCAGCAGGCAGAGGGGACAGGAGCTGTCTGGCTCCCGGGACTCTTGACAAATTTCAGGGTATAGAGACTTTCTGGTGAGGCCAGACCCTCTGCCCCACATTTCATGACTTTACAGGAGCTGCTCTTCCTGGTCTGGGTGTGCAGGGGTCACTTGTGGCCTGACAGGGCTGCTGCAAGGCTGGGTGAGAGAATTCTCCCAGGAGTAGAGGAATCCAGCCCTCACCTCCGGCCCCTCCAGCAGTTTTGCTGGGTGTCTCATCAGCTTCCTGTGAACACTGGGGCCGCTACAGCAGTGGGCTGGAGTAACTTGTGTGCAGGGGCCAGGGCGCCCATCATGTCCCTTCCCTGGGTCCAAGCACCCATCGGTGTGGAAGCATGGCTGCTGTCCCATCCTGACAAGGACAAATCCAAGGTCAAGAGGGAAAGACTTAAGTTGCTAGGCAGTGACTTCCTAGAGCCCAGTCACTTGCTGTGATTAACAAACCCTTCTCCATTCTTTTATCTGCTTGCTTTCTCTTTCTACCATGGGAACCCATTGCCTTTGGCTATCAAGGAACTGTTCTCTAATTTCCAGACCTGTCCTTTTCCCACTGTGGTAGAGCAGCTGTAAAAACCTTATTCCTAAAATCTTAGAGTCCTCTGGGAAACCACTGGCTCAGAGGGCCTGAGAGACCATCTAGAGGCTGTTCTGTATTGAAGCAGAGGCTCAGAGCTGGCATGGCATAGGGCCTCCGTTCCAGCCCCACCTCCACTGTTTCCTTCCGGGGACACTGTCTGGAGAGGTGGCTGGATGTGTCCTAGCGGTGGCTCTCTTACCAGAGGCCAGGCCATTCCAGCTGAGGTTGAATAAGACCATCCCTCGTTCCTGTCTTCCTTCAGCTGGGAAGGGGTGGGGACATTCTGGGCACGTGTCCAAACCCTGGCTCAGAGGACTCACAGCAGGGGGGGCAGATCTGAAAAATACCCGGAAGGTCAGACTGTCATTTAATAGCTGTGTGACAGAAACCACTTTTTAAATCTTTAAGCCTTGCTTCACTCTTCGACAAAATGGGTTATTATACCCTCACTGCAAAGTTACCATGTCAGACTAAGGCCTGGAATTGTGCTCCAAGGGACTAGGTGAAAAACCAAGATGGAGTCACCTATGCCAAGTCCCATGTCAGCAAACTGAAACTATGCTGTTATCTGACCTTCTGAGAAACCAAGAGACACAACAGACTTCCCAGATATGGTTTCGCTTACTGTGGAAATGAAGTTTCCTCTGCCATCCACATTTACATCCTTTGATCCTCACACAAAGTAACCTGAGGTAATCTCAGCAATGTCAACCAGTCATTTTCCTATTGTGTCCCTGTCCCACCTTACCAGGAAGGTGATTCTGAAATGACTGACTTGCTGTTCCTCCTTTGGTTTCTACTTTCTTCAGCTCCCTCTGCCTGTAAAACTCAGCTCCTCAGCTGCTCCTCTCTGTGAAATAAAGTGTTGCCCAATTCTAGAACAGAAAATAAAACCAATGACATCTTAATTAAATTCTAATGTTGTCCTTTGAGAGGATTAAATAACATGACATAGGTAAAGTTCTTGTCACAGGAGAAGGCCAGGAAAATAATAATGACATCTTCCTCTTACCTCTAATGCCAAGTGCGGGCTCTCACACTCTGACTAACACCCATCCCATCCTTATGCCCTCTGGACAACGTGTGACCTCGGGCACCTCAGCCTCTCCAGCCCTGAGGGGAAAGCAGTAGAGCTGCTGTCCTCTCAGTCACCCTATCTGCCTGCACCGCTTCCTGGAGCCTTGTCCCCACTGGGAGCCTTCTTCCTGCTGCACAGGCGGACACTGGTGGCCATGGCCTGAGGGTGTGTCCTAGAGTTAAGTAGTAGTCTCTTGGGGGCTATCAGGCCTGGGACCCCTCTTTCTGTCTGGTGAAGATCAGTTCTCACATCCACAGACTCACAATGGAGAGTCAGAGAGGAGGACCCCAGGAACCAGGACCCTGGGAAATGGTGTGATGAGCCTGGCTGCCTGAGCTGGTCTGTGCTTGCCCTGTGGGTGACAGCCCCTCAGGGAATACCCGCCATGGTACCTGTCCCCTAGAGTGTCCCCTTGATTTTGAGCTCACAGTTACAGAGTCATCTGGTTGGACTGCACTGGGTCCCCTGGGAATCACTCCCAGGCAGAGCCCAGCTCATGGGGTATGCCACAGTGGGGAGCAGAGATTAGAGCCCCCCCAACCTCTCCAAGCGTCTGTCTTTTCTTGGATACTTTGGGGATTTCCAGGTATGAAGTGAGTAGGTCCAAAAGATGTGATTTTTATGCCTTGTTACTGCTTAATGTAGAATTGGAGCCCTTTGGGCAGAAGAAATTTACACACCACCTCAAAATATGAAGAGGAAATGAGGAAGACAGGCTCTTTGGGCACCCCAAAGCACATCGCAGAACCCCAGGGCTCCTTGGAGCACACTCTGAACACCACTGGGCTGGAGGCTACTTTTCTTCTCCCCACTTGGCTTCCAGCATCCCCTTCCTCTGGCAGAAGACACATCTTGCTGCTTCGTGGAGCATGACAGTCACTTCCATCCTGGGATGTGATGTGATCACTGGTACAATCACCAGGCACTGAGGTTGACGTCTCAGTGTGGGAACTGGGGGAGCTGTGGTCTCACTTCTGGCCAGTTTTTCAAGGGGAGGCACCAGGGAGGTGGCCCAGGCAGACAGGACACAGTGGACTGGAGTTTTCTACCTGTACTTTGCATATATGGTTTGTCCTGTAGAGTCATGGCGTTTGTGTCCATGACATCTTCAGGATACCAAAGTCCGCTGGTGCTCAAGTCCCTTAGGTAAAATGGTGTGTTTGTATCAAACCTGCACACATCCTCACTTGTAACTTACATCATCGCTAGATTACATATAACAATGCAATGCTATGTAAATAGATGTATTCTTCTGGGAATGATATCAGAAAAAAACTGCTTACATGTTTAGTACAGACACAGTTTTTTAAAAATATTTTTCTTTTTTTCCTTCTTTCTCTTTTTTCTCTTTCTCTCTCTATCTCTCCCTCCATTCCTCCCTCTACTTCCAACTCCTCTCTTTTCTTTCTTTCTTTCTTTCTTTCTTTCTTTCTTTCTTTCTTTCCTTCTTTCTTTCTCTCTCTTTCTCTCCCTTCCTTCCTTCCTTCCTTCCTTC